GTTTCATTCCCACTTAGAGTAGGCGATTTTAAAAAAATCTGTGAATGCAGTTTTAGTTATTATTAAAAATAAAATGATGTCTTCTTGCAGAAAAATATCCTATCTTCAATATTTAATATACTTTCCCTCCGTGTGAGGTAGCCGTGGGACGCCCTGTATATGTCTGGAGGTTTGGGATTTCAAAAATTCCTCACATTACCAAAATAAACATGAATAATGATAATAATAAACCATTTCGTTTATTTCAATAGAGATGGGTCCGTCTGCTATTAGTCACCGTTTCGTTTGTCATATTAAGCCGGTAAATGAAAGCGATGATAAAAGGTTTACCTTCTTCAATGTTGAAATCCTCTGTAACTGCGCTAAGGCGACCAACTAACGCTAACAACCCTTCCGAATAATTTTGTCTAAAAAGATCTTCATGCTCTTTGACATCGTGAAACGCACCAATAAACTGTTCAAGCTGAAACCGACTTAAAAGCAGTGCGAATAACGTTTTTATTGCCCTAATTTGCTGAGGTGCTTTGAGGGTTTTGGAAGTAAGCGTTTCAAAATTTGACAAAGGTCGCGCTCGGGAAAGGATAATGGTGCTAAATACTGTTTAAACGGTTTTTTGATCCGGCTTCGCTTTGTATTTTGACGCTCAACAGAGGTTATTACTGACTTGCTTAATATCTGTAAAATAAAGCAATAAAATGAAAACTTCGTCGTCTTGATTATTAAGGACGGTGTAGATTGTAGAGCATTTCTTTTAGCTTTCCAATGCATGTAATTTAATCATCTAAATAATTACAATACTAGCGGCGAGGAGCTCGTTGGCGCGGGTGGTTAGCGCATTCGGCTGCGATCGTTGAAGTTAAGCAACTTTCGCAGTGGTCGGTCATTGGATGGGTGACCAAAAATTTTCTATCCTAAGTTCCTCCGTGCTTCGGAAGGCACGTTAAGCCTTCGGTCCATGCTCTCTGCAGTCGTTAGCACCCGCCAATCCGCACTGGGCCCGCGTTGTGGGTCATGGCCCAATCTCCCTATTCAATCCGTAGGGAAGGTCTGTGCCCCAGCAGTGGGGACATTAGTAGACTGATGCTGATGATACTAACGGCCGTCTGCGACTTTGTCCAGATTAACTTTCGTTTTTTTGAGAAACCCACAGGATTTTTTTCGGGATAAAAAATATCCATATCATAAACTATATGCCTTAACGTTACTGAGTATTAAACAAACTTTCAAAATTATAATATTAGTAGCAAGTAGGATAACATAAACTCTATTTAAATTAACTAGGGAATGTCCATGTAATGTAATATTTAATGAAATATTAGACTTTTATGTTACCTAAGTTGTAATAATAAGTCGTGCTTCAAGTTAGAAGTTTGGCTTGCGATTGGCTCATATAATGTATGAGATCTCTACCACGGTAAAATTATCTATACAATATTGTGACTCGGCCCTGTTCTTGAAATAACTGCCTACGGCCGAGCGTGGCGTATCCACGCGGTAGGGCTGCCCGCCTACAATATTTCAATTTCATCTACATAATTGAGTTTCTTTCTAGTTTTGGGATTGTAAATATTTTATTTCATATTTAAAAAAATGTTGTGACTGAATTAGGAAGTGTTACATAAAATACGTGTTATTTTAAGTGTAATATTTAATAAAAAAAATGTAGACAGAAAAATATTTACGCCTCGAATGAGACGTACGAAAGCTTTATAATTAAATTTAATAGTATTAAATACGCATTCGTATAAAAAGTTTAATTATTGAAGAGTTCAAGCAACCAAAAACAGCACAATATCGACTATTGCTCTTTGTCATATTAAATTATGTAGGTATCTACTTAATTCAATCAAATATTCACAAAACAAATGTTTAAGCACGGCTAACTGCGTAAAAAAAAAATTCACGCCGTTCGGTCATCGCTGCGGCGCATTCGTGACTGGATGCCCACCGGGTGCAGCGCGAACTCGAGTGGCGTAGGGATGACACGCTTTCCAACCGTTTGTATGAAGATAGAATACTGTATAGACAATATTACCGTGTCTCTACCCTAGCGTCACAAAGTACGTAATGAGAACTAAAAAACAGTATACATTTGAATTCGATATTGGTTCATGCTAGGTACACTGTACCCTTAGCAATTAATTCAAATAGTTTGCTAGTCTCTCTATAAATAAATGTAAGAGTCTGTACTCATCTTTAGATTTCTAAATCTTAGCGATAGTACTAATGTTGTCAGTTAACACTTCATTAATACTTATCATTTATTGTTAGATTTCAAGTCGGATACAACCAAAGGTATTAAACTTTATTAAGGCAGTTACTAACATTTGAAAGGAATACTACCAAAATGTTTGTATAATTTTATTTAACAGTAGCGGCCCGCCCTCGCTTCGCTTCGGTGTAGAGCTGAAGTGACTACAGTTTTTGTTCTAAGGCTTGTATTATACACAATGACATTCATCTATGATTCTTCTTATACCTGCATGCAAAGTCTCAGCCCGATCGGTTTAAAATTGACAAAGTTTCATACAAACTTTTATTCCCTATTTTATCCCCTTAGGGGTAGAATTGATCAAAATCCTTTCTTAGCTGATGCCTACGTCATAACATCTACCTGAATGCCAAATTTCAGCCCGATCCGTCCAGTGGTTTGGGCTGTGCGTTGATAGATCACTTTGTCAGTCAGTCACATTTGAGTTTTATTTAAATAGATTGCATGGTGGCAGACTTGTAAGCATGACATTATGTATAAAAATAAATCATCATTATCAGCCTAATAATGTCAACACTGCTGGGGTACAGGCATTCCCTATGGATGGAATAGGGCGATTGGGCCATGACCCACCACGCGGGCACAGTGCGGATTGGCGGGTGGGTGCTATCGACCGCAGATTCAGCCGGGACCAACGGCTTAAAAGTGCTTTCTGAAGCACGGAGGAGCTCGAGATACTAAATTTTTGGTCACCCATCCAATGACCGACCACTGCGAAAGTTGCTTAACTTCAACGATCGCAGCCGAAGGCGCTAAATAAATGCTAGGTCATAAAGAACTCACGTGTCTCTTTCAGGCTTATTCAGACGCAATAACGCTGTCACGCTCGATTGTGATACCGAATCGGTAGGAAAAATTGCGATGTGTGAGATAATTGCTGTCGTGCAGCGTGCTCGATTAAATGGTACGTCACTTTTGTGACGTCCATTAGTAAATGCAAGTACACATGACATGGGCGTTTTTGGTTGTGAACGCAAATGGACATATATCCGATTTCAGATTTCAAAATCGATTTTTAAATTCGTTTGGTATTATTAGATCATTAGCGGTCGAATCTAACCGAACCAAGGTTAGATTTCTGAGATAGGATTTTCCTGTTTAGAAATCGATCCGGAATCGATTTGAGTTTAAAATTGGATTTTGGATTCGTTCTGATATATCGGTCGTATGCCTAAAGCACACTTCATGCAATGTCGAGGAGTTTCGATGGCGCAGGTGGTTACGGCAATCGACCTGCGATCTTAAAAATTGATCAACTTTCGCAATGGTCGGTCATCGGTTGTGTGATCAAAAATTGATTATTTCGAGCTCCTCCGTGTTTTGGAAGGCACGGTAGTTAACCCTGGCTGCATCTGCAGTCATTAGCACCCACTAATCCGCACTGGGCCTGCGTGGTGTGTCACTGCCCAGTACCCCTATTACATCCACAGGGAAAGCTGTACCCCTGCATGTAACGTACCTTAATATGGTTTCGACTCATGGTTTCGATTATCATAGGTTCCATTTCGCACATTTTATCATATAACATCATCGATATTCATCAGGCATCATCATATATTTTATCATTTATTCCTGGAAACACATAATTTCAAAAATATCACACACTATTCATCATTTTGTAAATACGTATAATGATTTCTTCTGTACTGAAAATCACTATTCCAGAGTGTTGGACACTGGAGGCCAAGATCTAAGACGGCTGCACAGGAGCGCTTCTGCCTCCAAGGAGCGCCGTCCATCTACCTGTAGCACGACCTACCGTTCAAGCCGCCCCTGAAGATCGCCGACGACCCACGCCCTACCGTTCAAGCCGCCCCTGAAGATCGCCGACGACCCACGCCCTACCGTTCAAGCCGCCCCTGAAGATCGCCGACGACCCACGCCCACTTCACAACTCACACTACACACATATTCCATTTTTTTTTTTAATAATCTGTAAATAGTACTTTATCTTGTAAATATATATTCCTATACTGTTCTTTTGATTTTTTTTTCTTCCTTCCTATCTAGTTTTATTTTGTTGCTACACAACATGCAGTTGAGACATTAACAACATTAACAGGCTAATATTATATATACCATTACCAATAGCGAAGCGAATTTGGATACATGACATAAAATGAAATCCATAGAGAATTTTACATATATTATACCCCTGCTTAAGGCGGGATAATGATAGGTTTTACACTGCGTTTAAAATGTCTACAGTGAGCTTTGTCAAATAACTAAATGTCTAGTGCGACGTTGAGGAGCTCTATTTCGTAGATGATTAGCGCGTTCGGCTGCGAACGTTGAAGTTAAGTAACTTTCCAAGTAGTCGGTCATTGGATGTGTGACCAGAAATTTTCTACCTCAGTTTCCTTCGTGCTTCGGAAAGCACCGTAGTTCGTAAGCCGTTGGTCCCGGTTGTATCTGCAGTCGTTAGCACCCGCCAATCCTCAGTTGGCCCGCGTGGTGGGTTATGGCCCAATTTTCTTGCTCCATCCATAAGGAAGGCATGTGCCCCAGCAGTGGGGACATTAATAGGCTGACGATGATGAGTGCGACAGCGAATAGTGCGCATGTCGCGATATCGCGTAGCGTATTGCTATCCCTACCCAACACGACAGCGTTATCGCTTATGTCTGAGTTAACCTTTTATTTTTTATCATTTTTGGTATCTGAAATATCTCCTCTAAATCTTAAAGAAAAAAAAACAACTCAGTGTTGTTTTTACTATTTTTATTTTTGCAACTGTAGATTCTTAGTCAGTATTTTTTTTAACAATAGTTAATAATGTGAGAAATATTTTTTAAGAAAAATCTTAACTGTCTACATAAGTAAATCCACTAAAATTTTAGTACTTATACTTATCTTTACTTATATCCAAATAAAATTTAGATAATATTTAACACATTAATAAATATAGACATACAAACAGTCCAGGAAGAGTTCCGAAATTTACCCTTGCCCTACTTCACATGTAATCGACCTTGATAGAACTTATATGTTTGCCTATGTTAGGAAACTTTTACAAGCTGTAAAAGAAAGGATTTTTTTACAAAGTAATATCATATTTATTTTTCAATACTGTTGGTTATCGTCTTTGATCATCTGAGACACTTTTTCTCCTATCATTATAATGGGAGCATTTGTATTTCCACTTGTTATGTATGGGATCACACTTCCATCAGCTACCCTTAACCGTTTCACTCCATAAACCCTCAGTTTGGAGTCCACGACCGCTCCCATGGCACAAGTACCGACATAATGGTATATAGATGTAAACATCGCTCGAGAATAACACTTCCAGTACTCCCTACATCCCCTCTTTATGCCAGCACATGTCGGCAAATCAAATTGAACTAATTCTGCATTCACTTCTTCAAAATACGTAGAGTTGAGTACTCGAATATAGTCTTCGATGTAAGCGGCTATTTTCTCTAAATCATCAGTATCAGAATAATAGCGTGGGTAAATGAGTGGGTAATCCTTAGGATTCCGACTCTTCAATAAAATCTCACCTCTTGATTTTGGGTGCATCAAGTTAAGGACGCTAAAAAGTACGTCGTGCCCTTTATAAGTGTCGTAAAAGGATTGGCATAGTTCATCCCTAAAACCAAAGCTAAATGCGCAAAATACTAAAAAACTTTTTGGATCTTTGACAAAACTGAGAGTCTGGTAGTCTGGGTAGCCTTGAGATTTATTCTCTGCTATGTAACCAACAAATAATGGTCCTGGAACATAGTGAGGATTTGGAGGTGGCTGGTAGGAAGACGATTTCCCCATTTTAAATGCAACCACTGCTGCAGGGTGATCATGGAAATTCTTCCCTACTGGTAGATCTACTAAAACTGAAATATTAGTTTGCTGCAAATGTGTTTTCGGACCAATACCAGACAACATAAGAAGTTGAGGAGAATTGATAGCCCCCGCTGAAAGGATTATTTCTCTTTTTGCTTTGATAGTATATTTTTTATTTTCATTAGTTATTACTTCAACAGCTACAGCAGTTTTGGTGTTATCAAAAATAATCTTGGTTGCTAGGGTGTTTTTCCGAACGTGTAAATTGTTTCGATTCTTGATTGGGGACAAGAAGGCATAGCTCGTACTTTGTCGGTAACCTCTCGAAACGGTAAATAAAGGTATTGTATAACCCAAGTCACCGGTGCTTGTATCCAGTACGACGTTATTTCCAGACTCTTTAAAAGCTTGCAAGTACTGATCAATGTTTACTGTGTATTCTCTTTGTACTCCTAGATAACCAGTATATCCGTGGTATGGCCCATACCGTGACCTTTGTACAGTGCGATCTTCCAATCTTTCACTCTTGACAAAATATGGAAGCACGTTTTTATAAGCCCAGTTATTATTCTTAACAATTTGAGCCCACGTATCAAAATCGTGTGGTGATCCTCTAACATAAAGCATGTAGTTCATTCCACTGGATCCGCCCAACATTTTGCCCCGTGATAACTCAACGGTGGGGTTTTTTTTATATTGTGTAACGTAGTTATCGTCTAATGATGTGTAGTTCCAATCAAGATGGGAGTTTTGGATGTAAAGCGCTTCTCCTGGTAGCTAATTAATAAAAAGGAAATTATAACAAAGAAATTAACGTTATTTTAGAAATAAGACAGATCAGATTAAATTGACATAAACAGTATCTTTCCACATGTATTTTGAAATTGTACGTTAATTTTAAGTGTTTACTTGAAAATATTCACTCAGCCCACGGAATCAAACGAAAAAAGGTTTGATTTTATCCAATTCATGCTTATGTTTAGGAATCTCAGAAACGAAACTATTCATCACAATAGATGCAGACGGTGGTACATCGCATAATTTATCAAAAAAGCTGATAGTTTTGTTTTGAAATAGGTTAATGTTCGAAACAAAACTAGCAGCTTAAAAGTAAAGGAGTTTATATTTTTAAAAGGTTTTATTAAAGGTCGATATTGGCATTAAGTCTAATTTGTGTACGGAATCTCTAGAACTATTGGATCTATAACATATATTCTTTCATCAATAGAAAGTTCCATATGTATTTGTCTTTGTAACGAAAGAGATCATTTCATCAGTGATAAGTCGTGGCAGGGCTCATTTAAAAAAAAATATAGTACAATTTTGATAGTTATTGATCATCAAAAAGATAAAATTGGTAACCTTACCTAACCTTTAACGTTACCAATTTTATTTTTAGGTGATCATTTATTACTTTTTGATGATCATTAAAATATTATTCTTTTTAATGTACTTAAGTGGCCAGTTCAGAAAGTTTTTAGAGTGGCCGTTGTACAGCACCCAGCAGCCATTCAGAAAGTTACCTACTGTCTAGTGATGTCAAGTGATTGTTATTAATCTTAATGCAATTCAAGTAATTTGGAGAAATTTTATAATTAGGACAATTAGACCTGTTGCCAAGATGACAAAACATTCTGCTTCACATTTGGCGGTTTGAGCCCAATGTCTTTTAGAGATCTCGCATTCTTATTTACCACTTATTTACCTAATAATAGGCTCATAGTTATAGTAAATAAGATTGCGATACAAGTCACATAACTTGGTCTATTAAGAACTAATAAAAAGTTACATTCTGTCTCCCTTACATAGCCTATCAGGAATAATGTGCTAGAGAGACACAGTACTAGCCTTGTCATTTTTAATTTGTTTCTTTATTGGCTTCAGTTATAAATAATAGTGTGTAATTTACTTTTTGCGGCAGGTGCAACAGTTTGACCTAAAAATTCCGTGTGCTCTAAGTTTTTGTCTATTTGGATAATTACCATAACTTCTATAGGAGGGTCATCGCCGGCCTCAATAAGGAGCACATTGTGTTTTCCATCTTCAGACAGTCTATTTGCAATTACACATCCGGCAGAACCAGCTCCCACTATGATATAGTCGTATTCATAGCCATCTGAAAAATAATAAGGTTTCCGGAGCTCATAGGGTTAAGATAAAGAAAATGTAAACAGGCTTTTAGGTACCTACTTCATTGTTGTCGAAACATGTATTTATGGAACTTTTGTGGTATGAAAAGTTCATACTATTGTCAATTTGTTTTTCGTGATTACACTTGCAATCAAACTCGTAGAAATATTCCAAATTATGTTATATTATAATATTGATATGCAAAATAGCGTTCTTGCAGTTTTTTTTAATATTATTTACCTTGTCCGATGTTACATGGTGTAAAAATCATTGGGATAACAAGCCATAACCCACCACGTAGGCCGATTATGAATTGGTGGGTATTAACGGTTTTAGAAGTTAAGTTACAGCCAAGACCAACCAGCGGAATAAGTGAACTTAGAGCAGTTTAGGAAAATAAATTATATACGATCATGCATCATATAAACTTAGTAATTTGGTTGGTTGGTTTGGTTTGGTGAATAGTAATTTGGTTGATACTTATGAAATATTTACCTTGGACTGTTGCTTGCTTTGGGAATAGGTACGCAGTGAGTTGAAGCGCAGTCAGCACTAAGAATGCTCTTTGTATTGATTTGATGTTGGCCACAGTTGTTACCGCTTCCATTTGTCATTTGTTTACTACAAAAAATATGATTACTATCACATTACTTTTTATATATTATTGTGATTCGATTCCCAAAATATGACAAAAGAACTTTTTATAAAAGCTTTCTACTGTTTCTCCTTCTCTTTTTTTTATTCAGTGTTGGCGACAGCTGTTGCTACTTACATTTGTGATTTGGTTACTACAAATATCAATGAATATTATCATATAACTTTTTTATATATTATTATGTTTCGTTTCTTAAAAGATGACAAAATAACCTTTTAATAATGCCTCTACTGTTTCTCCATTCGCGAGTGGAGTCGGCTGGGTGAAAATTTAAGAAACAAGTAATATTTTTGAATTGAAAACCTTCTTTGGCGGCGTTGTACACTTTTTTTGTAATGGATAAAAACTGTCAAACTCGCGTCAGAACATGTGGCCTAATCGCGTCAGTCCTGACGTCCTGATTAGATCACGTGTCCACGTGAACTAATCGAAAATTCGTAAGACGAAAACAATAAAATTGGAAAGGTTGTTGACTTTCAATATATTGGACGAAACATAGTAATATTTTATTTTATCGTATTATAAGAATAAGTGCCTAATTAGGACGTCCAGGTGGCAGCTTTATTGCGATGACCCTATATTGTAGTAAATATGTGCTTGTCTCCACTGCATTGTCATGGCTGTTTTCTCTTTTCTCCTTGCAAAATCTTTTAAATGTTTATTATTAATAAAGCTAAATCTACTCACTCATGAAGGTGATGGCTGATGGCTTTGCTTTCTGCAGCATACATATATTTATTTCATAGCTGATTTCTTGCTTTTTTTATTGTATTACTCTGAAATGTATATGTATGTTGAAAAAGAAAATAAACGCATTATCCATATATCTAAACATTCTAACAGAAATGGGAGTACCATAGCATCTAGTTATTCTCATCGCAGACCTTTAAGGTGAACAATGTTTTGTCAAAACCCTTTAAGCTGCAGAAAGGTGTTAGACAGGGTTGTATACTATCTCCGATCCTCTTCAATATCTATGGGGAATATATTATGAGATGAGCATTGGATGGTTGGAAAGGTGGAGTTTCTATTGGTGGCAGAAAAATTAGCAACCTGCGGTATGCACTTGACACCACACTGTTCGCAACGTCTGAGCAAAAAATGGCTGAACTTATTTCTAGAGTGGAAAGGAAGAGTGAATTAGTTGGCCTCACCATAAATAAGGCGAAGACCAAGGTGTTGGTGGTAAACAGACCTGGTACACTATTTCGCTCCAATGAACTCCGAGACCTGGGATTTGTTGACCATTTCGTAAACCTGGGCTCTCTTCTCAGCAACGTGGGTGGCAGCGTGGGTGAAATATCTAGAAGAATCCAAATGTCCAAAGTAGCGATGACTAAACTCACTAGGATATGGAAAGACCGCAACATATCCCGCAAAACCAAAGTGAGGCTGGTGCGCACGTTGGTCTTCTAGATTTACTTTTATGGCGCTGAATCCTGGACGATAAGACAGAGCGAAAGGGCAAGGATCGACGCTTTTGGGATGTGGTGTTGGGGGCGGATGCTAAGAATACCATGGACTGCATGCCGAACCAACGTGTCCACTATCTGCTACCAGCGCATACTAAAGTATTTCGGATACATCGCTCGCAGAAACAGACCTGACAGCCTAGAGTAACTGATGGTGGTTGGCCAGGTCGACGGGAGAAGATCACGCAGGCGGTCACCTACCCGCTGGTCAAACCTAGTAATGTCGCTCACTGGCCTATCAATAACCAAGACTATAAAGACTGCCGAGGACAGGAATACGTGGAGAAGCATAGTGCATCAGGTGGTCTACAATACATTACAAGCTAGACACGACCTTCAGCAATGAAGATAGCGACTAAGAAGAAGAAGAAAGGTTTAAGCCAATGGGTGACTATATTAGCCTACAGTGTTCACAAGGGCTACATTGTGGTTCAACTGTACTCACCGATCAGCCTTGATATCGTTATCAATAATATACGCACTAGGATAGAAACGTATGTTTTTCCTGTCGCACAATGCTCAAAATGAAGGGGATCCTTTTCAAAATATTTTCCCTTTAGCCTTATACATTTTTCATATCTTTCAAAACAAGCCCCTGAAAACATGTAGAAATTGCAAACTTCTCTTGTTCGTTATCATTTTTATTAAATTGTAGATCTTTCTTGATTTTTGGAACTCCATACTTACTTTTGATGATGCCATACTTACTTTTTTGGAGAATATTGTAATGAAATACTGACATCACTTTGAAAATGTCAAAATGGAGTCATAATTTTTAAAGTGAAACTTCTTTAGGCACGCTTGACTTGAGGGGTATACTCACGAATGTGTTTTGATCGATCGATCGATTTTTGCGTTAAAATTAGTGTCGGTGACTCATCGGAAAACAATGAACAATACCCGTCACAAAATACATGAATCTAGTGCTTGGTGGGTGATAACGGACCCAACGCGGATTGGTGGGTGACAATGGACCCAGTGCGGATTGGGGGATGATAACGGACCCAGCGCTATTGGTGCGTGATAATGGTCCCAGTGCGGATTGGAGGATGATGATGACGTCGTCAAAAACTTTACTATTGATCTCTAAAGAAAATTTTCTTTACCTTCTACTGTGCCTTACTTTGAGTATAGGTACGCAGTGAGTTTAATTGCAGTCAGCACTAAGAATGCTCTTTGTATTGATTTGACGTTGGCCACAGTCGCTGCCGCATCCATTTATCATTTATTTTCTACAAAAATATGAACATTATCATGTTGCTATGTCTGGTTGCATACCCAGAGGGTGACAATATAAATTTATTACAAAACCTCCACTATCTCTCCGTCTGTTTGTCATTGGGTCGCATATAATGAACTATTGAAAAGAATTTTATTAAATGTAAGAAACAAGTATTTCTTTTTGTAATTGCAATAACGTGTGTAATTTGTGAGGCAAATGGAAATGTGTTTATATACACCTATAAATCATTAAGTTTTTAACGTTTAAATATAATCGTAAAATCTGTTCACGTATTACCAATTAATATCAACACCTTGCTCACTTTATTATGTTACTGCCATGATAAGCACAGAGTAATAATGGAGTTGTGAAAATTCACATTTTATGACATGCAAGCGATGCACACACTTTCACAAGTAACTAATTTAAAATATAGAGGAAAAAATGAGAACGTTAAGATTTTAATAACAAATTATCATAAGTAACGATTTTCGCGTGGTCTGTGGTGGATTTTTCTTATTAAAATAATTTATCGTCCTCACAAATCACGAAAACTAAACAATTTATGTTTTGCCCAAAGAATGTACCTAATACTCTTGTGCATTTATTTGGGACCCACATAAGGTTGAATATCGGACAGCAAATAAACATCTTGGAAAGCTTTCTTCAGAACACGTTGCAAAAATAAGGCTCAATAGCGAAGGTGGATAGCGCATTCAAAATGCGACCGTGAAAGTCAAGTAACTTTTGCAATGGTCATTGGATCATCATCATCATCAGCCTATTAATGTCCCCACTGCTGAGGCACAAGCCTTCCCCATGGATGGAATAGGGAGATTGGGCCATGGCCATTTGGTCATTGGATGTGTGACCAAAATTTATTATCTCGAGCTCCTCCATGCTTCGGAAAGCACGTTAAGCCATTGGTCACAGCTGTTAGCACCCATCAATTCGCAGTGGGCCCGCGGGAGGGTCACGGCCCAGTTTTCCTATTCCATCCAAGGTCTTGTACCCAGCGAGGACATTAGAAGACTGCTCAAGTTAGAGAATTAACTGCTAAAATTATATCTAAGCATAGCTGTGATCGAAAATTTTGGCATAAAACTTGCATAAAATATCAGCCTCAAAGGGCAATTTACTAATGAATCGCTCAATATTTCAACTATTATAAAAACTGTCTGCCAAATAATTCGTAGACTAGCTTTTTTCTATTGTATCAAAAAACTTTACTAGTTGTGGAGTCTCACTATCACAAGGACTTAGTTAAGGGTGTATTTTGAATCATCACACACAGGTGGCCCATGTTACTTTCGGTATCTCAAAACTCAAACTCATTTATTCAGTCTAGGCTGTTACAATCTCTTGTGAAAGTCAAACGCTACGCCATCGGTTCGTAAATCTACGGCGGGAGACCTTGTACTGAGAAGAACCGGCAAGAAACTCAGCAAGGGCTATTTTTTTCTCCCTGTTTTGTTTCAAACAGTGTCGTCAATTGAAAGCTGACCTCAAAAATTGTAAACATGTGTTGATGTCAACTTTCATGACATTAATATTATTAATTAATAAAAGTTAAGTATAGTTAGGTACTACTTTTAAATTTAGAAGTGGCTATTAAACAATTTTCAACCAAATCAGCAAAGTAAAACGACTTAGTCTGTTATATTAAGGCCAAGGTGACTTATCATTTATGAAATCTTTAACAGTATAGTAACCTTTTTTAAGGAGACATATCAGTATGTTTAACATAATACCCCTCCCCCCTCTCAGACAGCCATGTTTGTAAAACAATACAAAGATTTATCTCTGAGACAATATATATTTTATGTTCTCTCACTACATTTTGGTGCATTCATTATGTATAGTGTAAATAATTAATTTTAAATTTTCTTTCTTTTGCTTTTACGTGCAGCCGGTAACAGATACTTGAGAATTTTCAAATCTTCATATTAACTTATCATTGGATGAACTCCCAAAGGCAACATCATGATATAAAATAATACCCGAGATTAGAAATTACTCCCTGTACTAATATAAACAGGGGGTCAATCGCCTAACGAAATTGCTATGACTATCGCTATAGCTTACGATTTCATTTTATATTTCTGACCGCCGAAGGTTTTCAAATACCTTACGCTCTTTTGCTTTGATATTGTTGTTACCAATACAAAAGAAAAAAAAAGGGAGTGCAGGACATTTGAATACATTCGGCGGTCAGAAATAACAAAGTGAAAACGTAAGCGCCAGCGATAGCCATAGCAATCCCTTAAGAGGCACATACTTTTATCTGATAATCATCGGATGGGCATCGCTGCTGGACATAGTCCTCCTCTAGGAATTTCCAAACACAACGATCGTACGTTTCCCGCATTCAGTGGGTTCCCCCGCTTGATGTCATCAGTCCACCTGATAAGGAATCTAACCACACTCTTCCCGACACGAGTAAAAGCACATTGGGACCTCAACATCCATCGGTAACAATATGCCCCGCCCATTGCCACTTCAGCATGGCATTCCGTTAAGCTATGACAGTTTCTCTAGTTCTTTTCAATCATGTAGCGACGACCTTCGTGACCGAGTGGACCCACAGGTATTCCTCAAGGCTCGCAATTAAATGAAATGAAACGAAAATGAAAAATTCTTTATTGCAAAAAATTCAAAATATTTTTTTAGGTCCATTAGTATGTAATGCATATATGTTCTAGGCTAAGTGATTAATCGGGCAATATGAATAATGCCCAATAAGAGCGGGCAATGTTATTATAACCAAACAATTTATCACATTGCCCGAGCATTATGGTTACTGCCCAGTGCCTATTGGGCAGAGTGATATAAAGCATGTTTAATACTTTCAAATGAATACTTAGTTAGACCGAGCATTACAAGTAATGAAATCGATTATCGGGTAGAATAATAATAAAACACGCTTTTTTAGTTAAGTATTTATTTTTAAAATTTAAATAATCAGACTTCGGTTTCACTTCGATCAATTTACTAGGGCTACATTTAGAAACTATGGTCTATAGTAGTTTTAATGCAGTTTGTTTGAAAAATTCATTAAATCTGTTAAAGGTACAGAATTTATGGTCCCCTATTTTTTAGGATGCAAGGACTAGGGAAGTAAGAACCAGTACTTCTGCTTTATCTCCGGCGCTGCGGGCAGCCCCTTCGCCTTTGCGTGGCAAAGTCACAAGCATCACTCCCCTTCACACCTTCGGCTTGTTGGTCGCCACCTCCGGCGGCGAACAGCCTCAGGCACTACGGGTCGCACGATGCTTGCGGTTTTGTTACGGCAGGCGGGGGCTGCTCTCCCTCCTCGCCTCCGGGCTCTAAAAAAACTCTAGAGGTATGGCAGACCAAGACCACGGCATGTTGGGGTTGCCCAAGTCGGTTCTGAATTAATGACTGTTGTAAAGTCACATATACCTTTTTTTCTAAGTGTGGAGCCCATACCTACTATTTTTTTTTACCAAGATCTCAAAACAAACACAAAATGGCGAGACATCTGTCATTTTAACAAAAGTAGCAACGTTTTGAATTTATTCATATTGCCCGGTCCAAGCGATAAATTTAAGTTATCTCAAACACTAACTTGTTACATGGACCACAAGCCGTCCGGCATTATTAATAATGGCCGAGCAATATGATAAATAGGTGAGTTTAGAATGTAATTAATCGGTTGGCCCGATATGGCTGGGCATTATTCATACTGACCGCAATTATCACTTGGCCCATAACTACATCAAATATAGCCTCCGCTTTAATTCGACACGAACGTGTAGAAAACCTGTAATTGGCTTTACTTTCAGATTATACTTTAGACCTATGTGGATATGCGTAAATACTTTGTAAAACAGTTGGTTTCTTAATAAATACAAAAAAACTGCAATTGCTATATCCTCCTTCAAATGTTTGATACGTCTTGTAAAGATCTTTGGTTAGACATTGTGGGTTACCTACAATGTGAAGAGATGGCGCTGCCTTGCAGCCTAAGAAATACAAGAGGAAATTCGACACGGCCATTAAGGTCTCGATAGCATAATCGGTAAGCCCGCCCGGATAGCGGAAGATGCGGGTTCGAATCCCGTCTGAAACCTAGACAGAGTGATTTTTTTTTCTAGTGAAATTTTCTTTAATTAAATATAGATAGTAAACCACTTTTTTATCGGGATGAAGCAGGAACTTATGTTGATTGATTTTGTGGAATAAAAAATTGTTTCTTTTATAATTCTTTTTAGCAATAAATAAATATTTGCTTGACAAATTGTTCTTGGAAATAAATAATGTCATTGTATATAGTATAATAATATTAATTTTTCGCTATTTTCGGTTATCTTCTTTGATCATTTGCGATACCTTTTCTCCTATCATTATGATTGGGGCATTTGTATTTCCACTTGTTATGTACGGGATTACACTTCCGTCAGCGACCCGCAACCTTTTCACTCCGTATACCCGCAGTCTTGAGTCCACCACTGCTCCCATAGCACAGGTACCGACATAATGGTATATAGATAGAAATATTGACCGGGAATAACACTTCCAGTATTCTCTAGAACCCCACTTAAGGTCAGCACATGTCGGTAAATCAAATTGAACTACTTCCGCATTCACCTGTTTGAAATAGGTAGAATTGAGTACACGAATAAAGTCTTCAATGTATGCGGCTATTTTCTCCAAATCTTCAGCATCAGTGAAATAGCCCGGGAAAATGAGAGGGTGATCTTTAGGATCCCGACTCTTCAATAAAATCTCGCCTCTTGATTTTGGGTGCATCAAGTTAAGGACGCCAAACAAAACCTCGTGCCCCTTCGTCATTTCATATAAGGATTGACATAATTCATTGGTAAATCCAAAGTTGAATGAGCAGAACCCTAAAAGACCGTTTGGATCTCTGACTACAAGATTAAGGGTCTGGTAATCTGGGTAACTTTGAGATTTTTTCTTTGCTATATAACCAACAATTAATGGCACTGGAAACTCGTGTGGATTCAAAGGTGGCTGTGAAGAAGGCAATTTACCCATTTTAAATGCAACTAATGCTCCTGGGTGGTCGTGGAAATTCTTTCCTACTGGCAAATCTGAAATGACTGGAATACCAGCTTGTTGTAAATGTTTTTTCGGACCGATTCCAGACAACATAAGTAATTGTGGAGAATTGATAGCACCTGCTGATAGGATTATTTCTCGTTTTGCTTGAACAATATTTTTTTTGTCTTCATTAGTTGATACTTCTAAAGCTACAGCAGTTTTGGTATCATCAAAAATAATTTTGGTGGCTAGGGTGTTTTTCCAAACATATAGATTGTTTCTATCCTTGATTGGGGTTAAGAAAGCATAGCTTGTACTTTGCCGGATACCCCCTGAAATAGTAAACAAAGGTTGCGTATAACCTAAATCACCGGTGCTTGTATCCAAAACGATTTTGTTACCAGATTCTTTAAAAGATTGCATGTATTGATCGACGTCTTTGTGGTATTGTCTTTGTACTCCTAAATAGCCTTTATAACCGTGGTAAGCGCCATATCGCGAACTTCTTACAGAGGTATCTTCCAATTTTTCACTTCTTTTAAAATATGGGAGCACATTTTTGTAAGCCCAAATATCATCCTTAACCATTTCGGCCCAAGTTTCAAAATCGTGTGGCGATCCTCTAACATACGCCATGTAGTTCATTCCACTAGAGCCGCCCAACATTTTGCCGCGAGATAACTCAATGGCGTGGATTTTCTTATATTGTGTGGTGTAGTTATCGTCTTCTGATGTGTAGTTCCAATCAATATGGGATTTTGGTAAGTAAGCGATTGCACCTGGAAGCTGGATATAAAATGAATGAGTTTAGTAAAATAAAAAAAATATTCGTTTTTCACAAAAAAATAACAAAATAAGAAGCGTCCTTTAATTTTTTTTTTAAATTAGTGCCAATTGATTCATCCCCGTGCACGTTAAATCTTAGTGGAGTCCTATTACAAAGGAACCTTGTAGATATAACTGAGAATGATATTTGATCAGCCCCACACTTTGCCAGCCTTAACCCGACTACAATACATGCACACAATCTATACTTATAATAAATCTGTAGAGATGTCAATTCTGTACATGAAATATATTTTTAAAATAACTATCAGGGGGTGATTAGTGATCGATACTGATGCCAAAAATGCAATCAGTAAAATTTTTGTCTGTCTGTCTGTCTGTGTGTATGTTCCTTATAGAAACAAAAACTACTCAACGGATTTTAACGAAACTTGGTACAATTATTCTTCATACTCCTGGGCAGGTTATAGTATACTTTTCATCACGCTACAATCAATAGCAGCAGAGTAGTGAAGGGAAATGTTGGGAAAACGGGAGAAGTTACTCCATTTTTTAAGCTTCCGTCGCGGGTGCAGCCTTAATGGTTAAAGTTACATAGAAATCATGTATGACGGAAATATTCTACATAAAACTGTCTAAAAAATATCCCGCAACAGCATATGTCTATCTTTTATGGTTGACTCACAATAACACGTGTAATTATATAAATAAAGTCATTATTTATAGGACAAGCCTGAGAACAAAAACTATAGTTTACACTACAGCTCTACACCGAAGCGAAGCGAGGGCGGGCCACTAGTATAGGAATAAAACACTATTGTGTAATTGTAATGCATCAGGCTACAATAGATTACTTCTCCTGACAGACACAAATTCAAATCCTCCAAATCAAATGCTGATTTATGCACGATGTAGGTTTAGCTTGAATTCATGTTAATAATCATTACCATAACTTCTATAGGAGGGTCATCGCCAGCCTCAATAAGGAGCACGCTGTGTTTTCCGCCTTCAGACAGTCTGTTTGCGATCACGCATCCAGCAGATCCGGCCCCCACCACGATGTAATCGTACTCATGACCATCTGAAATAGTAAGGTTTTCAAAGCTCCATGATAAATAAATTCCTTCTTTCACATCTATTTTAATAAAATGCCTAAGATTAGCAGGACTATCTCTCTCTGAATCTATACAACGTTTTCATAGCATTGTTGTTTGTATAAAAATATATTTAACACAAAATAATACTGAAAAATTGGTTCCAATTGATTTTTAAAGATACTTACCCTCAACTATAGATGTCTTTGGGAACAGGTATGCAGTGAGTTGGAGAGCAGTCAGCACCAAGAACGCTTTTTGTATTGATTGGATGTTAACTTGAACCGCCGCTGCATCCATTTTCCAGATGATTACTACAAAAATATGAACATATAAAACTATTCAGAGGAATACATAGTGAATACAGATCCGTTAAATGTTTTTCCCAAAGACGTATAGTTGTAATAGTGGAAAGACTTGGAGATAAAACCAGAATGGTTAAAAAAATCCTGAAACCTTAATTTTAGGTATTCTGTAAAATACTAAAATGCATGCATAAAATTCGGAGATTACCAATGGTTCTGCAGTTGTCTTCTGTAAACCAGTTGAGTTGTTTCCAATACCGTAAATTAAAGATTAAGCAAAGCATTGTTGATCAAATAATTCAGTTTAATGAAAAGGTTTTAATTGATGTCAGAATAGCAGACATTAGCGTAGCCAAGGACAGGAAGAACGAGAGCCTGTATGAGCGTAGCCTTTTAACAGAAAAAGAGAGGGTATTTTACTATATAGAGTTTCAATTGTATTAATTGATTTATGGCATAGGTCTTGAATAACTTCCGGGAGAAAGTACAATTAACTTAGTAGACTCAGATTCTTAACGAAAGGTGAGAAAAATTAATCGTAGTAGTAAGAGAGTTGATAAAAATTGAAGAAAAATGCCAATCTGTGGATCGTCAGCAGTGAGACCGCAATTGTGTGAAAAGGTTAGAAAAAAGCATCCAAAAATCTGCGAGGAAAACTTCTTTCACAAAAAGAAACTCCTTTATGTTAAAGGATTGTGAAAAGAACTTTATAGCCATGTTAATCAATACCTTTGACCATTATATTTGAAAATAGTAATCAATACTAATCATATTCAGACGGAACACAACCTATTCTGAACTTGTCGATTGAAAAAAAGTATACTTGATATTTATTTGTCAATATCATGGAGCAACACGGCCGACGCATGTATATGCACAACTCGACGACGAAGCACGGAATAGGCTAGTACCGAAACAATGTATTGTAATGTTTTTTTACCTAGAAAGCTACATAACTTTAATTTTAAAATAGATTTTTCATGGACATACAAAAACGCTGTCGGCCATTTTAGTCTATAGATTATCTATGGTATGACGGGAACAATAGTAAACAAACACTCGCAAGCACGTAGGATATAACCTATCTGAATTTTATTACAAAACCATTATTTCTAATAGATTTCATGATAAATATAGAAATTATCATGATTGTATTAAACGAGAATAAAGAAACACATCGTTAAAAACCCCAGAAATATTGTGGTTTCAATTTTTAAGGTTATGAATGTACCTGCTAAGTCAAAGAGTTTTGTCGTTTCTGATTTCACTAATCCGGCGCCCAGCATTAATTTAGTTAAGAAAACCAATAAACAGAAACTTTTCTTCAAGATATAAGAGTTTTTAGATATAATTTAGTCGGACGAAAGAAACCACAGTAACATGACGATGACGTTTAGTTGTTTTGCTATTATGTTGACGTCACAATCATGGTTTAAAAAGCATAGACTAAAAAACTATTTTTCAAATTAAATTACTACAGCCATCTTCTAATTTTATGAAGTGAAATCGATGTATTTAGGTTCCTCATCTACAGTTGTGTTATGTGTGTATTGGTATGTTAACTCCAAACTAATTCGTTGGAATAAGTTTGGAGTTAACATAGAACTAGTTCAGGTAAATGTTGGTATCTGTATATGACACGAGCGCTGGCTTGAAATATTCAGGGGCAATACTCAGCCCCCCCTCAAGCCACGTGCCCAATATTCGGACGAAAATGTTAATTCCTTTCACCACTGCCTTTAGTACGTATCTTTAATATAAATACTGTTTTAAAACTTACACCAATATGTTCCTCTCTTGTCACAAAATACGGTCATTTTACGTACTTTGTATTGTTGTTATAATAAATAAAAAATCAAAACAGTCTATACACACTATGGTGGCTGCTTATCCGCTACGTACTTTGTTATCATCCTTATTACACGAATGAAGATAAATTAAAAAATAAACACAGGTAATTACAACCAAGCTGTAAGTTCTCTACGATCTTATCTGAAATGAAAATGAGTTCAGTTCCAATAAAACGTTCGAATCTACAATCAAGAATAGTTTGCAATTCAATTTATCGTTTCAATGCCGAGTTGTGGAAAAGGTGTATAACTAGGTGGGCTTTATGAACAGCCCGGGGCCAGGACAAAGGCATCATAACGAACGAACGTAATTTAGAATCGGACTTGCGGCTCGTTACTGAGGAAATAATTAATTCTATTGTACGCGGTCTGGAGGAAATGCACGCACGTTCATAAAGAGGAAGGCATACCAACACTACAGCCTTAAGGTTGGTACACACAATGTGGGACTCGGAAACGGATTCTGACCGCTTTAATGCAAGCCGTTCAATATTGTTTTTGGAAGATATTTCTTAGTTCATAGCAGACTAAGGAACAATAGGCTGTATTCTTAAAACCGTTAATAGATGTATCATGAACTTAGACATATAATGTCCTACTATACGGTATTAAAACTATTTACGTTAGAGTAGGAAGGACGATAATAACAAACACGATATGAAAGAAAGAAAATCTAATCTAAAGTCAATTTTATTAGTAAGAGACGCTGCTCTCGAACCACAAGTTTTTAACGTTGAATTTATTTTTCGACTGAAAGTGCGACTCGCCCGTGATACCCCGAGGTTTAGGGCCACGAGGACGCAGGAGAGTTCAAAAGACGCGGAATTCGAAGGGCTTCAAGATGATGTAAAAATATTATTAGAAATATTTTTTTACGAGTATAATAGGTAGATTTCCTTTCAAGTAGTGTAGAGCACTAGAGCTGTGTTTTTTTTATTGTTGCATGTATTTTTTATTTTTAAGTTTTTTTTTAACATGGCCAATAAAGGTTTCATTTCATTTCAAGCGAGGCGTTGTAAACTCTCGGCCCCGTGCTTACGTTTATCCGTTCATCCGCTTACGCCTAGCCGTACACCAGCTTGCGTCTTTTCATCCACCCATTTCCGTCTCTTCTTCAGACTTGTAGAAAGTCGGCAGATAGTTGTCCACCAGTTCAAGCATATTTTAATATAAATTTAATCAAAATTATTTAATCAGTTTAGTCTGTTACAAGCACTCTTGAATGACTAGAAGCTAAGCCATCGATTCGTGAATATACATACTGTGGGATTCCTAGTACTGAGAAGAACCGGCAAGAAACTCAGCAAGGGCTGTTTTTTACTCCCTGTGTTTTTATATGTTACTAGCTGTCCCAGCAAACTTCGAACGGCCATAAAAAAATAGGGGTTGGTGGTAGAAGGGCAAAAATTTTGGGTTATATTTATTTTTGTATGATGTATCTTAAAAAAAATCAAAAAATTTTTTTTTATCTAAAATTGAAAAAAAAAATTTTGGGGGAGGGGGGTACCCTTAACATTTGGGGGGATGAAAAATAGATGTTGTCCGATTCTCAGACCTACCCAATATGCACACAAAATTTCATGAGAATCGGGAAAGCCGTTTCGGAGGAGTTTAACCATAAACACCGCGGCACGAGAATTTTATATATTAGATATGCTTCCTATATGCTTCGATGACGTAGCCGATACGACGTTTCTGACATGAATGTGCAGTACCCTTTATACTAATCTGATTAAGAGCGTCCGTGTATCACTTGCTACATTCATTTAATTATGACACGACATTGTGATACAATGTAGAGTTAATTTATATTATATAGAGACCGGACGGTATGCGTTTGATGCCATGGAAGATGGGCCGGGTGGTGGTATGGGATGCAACCTGTTCAGACACGCTGGAACCTTCCCATCTACATTTTACCCCTTTTAGACATGATTAAATACAAAAAATGGGTGCGTGTACTTATGTAGGCGCGTGAGAAGTTATCCTTCTTTGGCATCGTTTAAAATTAGTTTTTAATTGCATGCAAATAATTAATTACAATAAATTAATAAAAAGTCTGGAAAAGGACACAGTCAATAAAGTTCTGTTTTAATTTGAAAATATAAATAAATAATCAAAATATTGAATTAAAATCGCTACTGAATATAATTTATTAGAACATATGTGATTTGCACTTGTATGAAACTCAAACACGTATTCCGAATATACAAACTAGAAACATGTGGATAAATATTATAAATATGAATACCTATAACTGTTACTTTATTACAAAAAATAAAGATGTGGTTTTTGGTTCTACTACACCAATGGTTGCTAAAGCGACCAACTTCAAGCTGTTAAAATTTTGTGTTACAGTGATGCGCGCGCATCTTAAAATTTCACTCTCATCATTTTTTCATAACGCGCCTAAAGAAGTTTAACTTCAAAAACCACAAGAAATCATAACAACAAACAAATCCGTATCAATACAAAACTTTGACGTTTTACAGATTGCTGGGTTTGATTGCCAAATAAAAATCTTAATGTTAGTTCCGTTTTTCGCTACGCCTATTCTCTTTCCGCACAGACTCTACCCGTCACAAAATACATGATTCCAGTGCTTGGTGGATGATTTATTGAAGTTATACTTCTTTAGGCGCGTTATGAAAAAATGGATGAGAGTGAAATTTTAAGATGCGCGCGCATCACTGTAACACAAAATTTTTACTTTTGTGTTTACCGCACATTAAGAAAATCTACCAACAAAATAGAAATAGAATCTCTATTTAGTGGGTGCTAACGACTGCATTGTGAAGGCCTATCAAAAGTATTTATTAATCTGGAACAACGGAACCAAAGCGCGATTCAGGAGACTACAGTGCCATCTCTTGACCATTGGTGTAGTAGAACCAAAAACCACATCTTTATTTTTTGTAATAAAGTAACAGTTATAGGTATTCATATTTATAATATTTATCCACATGTTTCTAGTTTGTATATTCGGATTACGTGTTTGAGTTTCATACAAGTGCAAATCACATATGTTCTAATAAATTATATTCAGTAGCGATTTTAATTGAATATTTTGATTATTTATTTATTTTTTCAAATTAAAACTGAACTTTATTGACTGTGTCCTTTTCCAGACTTTTTATTAATTTAT